AGAAAGAAAAAGAAGAGAAGGTGAAAACCCCTTTCATTACTAAAGGCTTCTTATTCAAAGGCATGTGGAGGTCAGCTCAATTGCAGGAAGTAAAAATCAGACTTGGCAGAGCCACAAACCACCTGAGGATTCCTCTTACAACATGCAAAAGGCTCAACATTGAAATGCAGGCTCATTTCTTCTGTAGTTCCCTCTCCTGCAATAGAAATGCTCTCTGTCCAGCCCCATCTAGTGGAAAAAGAGCCTCAAATCATCTGCAGGCCTCCCTTGAGGCACTACAGTGTTTTGGCAAAGTTGGCCATCACTATGATACTTGACCCTTCCTGAAAGAGCCTTAAAGGAGCACCTATTCCCTCTGCTCCCTCCCATGTGCATGACATCCTCCCTTTAGACAGTGAGGGGGGATATATTAATAATTTTCCACACTACCTTGCCTTCCTCACAGAAGAGTCAAGAACACCAAGGTGAGCACGTGAAAGCATAGAAGGGATAGGGGACCAAAGCAAATTCAGAGCTTAGAATGGTTCCTAGGCCTTCTAAGATCCCCAGGTTTCTGCTGGGCTATAGTGGCTTTCAGATACTGCCTCACGGAAACAGGTGGTGAGTGGGCCAGAAGCTTCTATCTAGAGAGGTGGTCCAGAAGAGCTAAATTCCCAACCACCCTGACCTAGCCCAAGCAGCAGGGGCATCTGGTCAACTCCACCCTGTTAAAATGCGACTGACCCTGGGGGGAAATATAGTGTAAATTAAAGCTCCAAGTGTGTAAGATATCCTCATCCCTGGTAAGGGTTGGCCAGACCCAGGCTCTATTCTGCTGCCAGGGGGAACACAGAATAGCAGTAAAAAAACAAGTTGAAAATGGTCCCCAGCATATAAATGACCACCCAATTCTACTGACTCCCTGAGATAACACATTAAATAAATTTCTGTGTACCAGTCTGGAAACTTAATCATCAAGCTTTACTCCAGTAGGAAACAAGTTCACAATTTTGGGCCAGCCAAATAGCTCAGTGGATTAAAGCACCTGCAAGCAGGTGCAGGGGCCAGGGCTTCAATCCTTGAGCCTGCCATGCAGGTCCCGTCCCTGGGGCAAGCTGAGACAGCAATTGAGACTGCGTGTGGTGACA